AATACCCTCGGGGATCACAAGAGTCAAAAATACAAGAAAAATAGGGAAAAAAACGCTTCCTGCAACACGGGCCGTGTCAGGCAACACGGGCGCCCATGTTGGCTTCCTGAAAGATTTTTCACGTGAAATTTGCAAGTCCCAGGTGTCACAATACGGGCCGTGTCACACAACACGGGCACCCGTGTTGTGCCACTGTTTTTTCTCCAAAAATCGTCTTTTCTGAGCAAATCCTGCAACACGGGCCGTGTCACACAACACGGGCACCCGTGTTGCAGCCCTGTTTCGAATCTGATTTCGACTCCAACACGAAAGTCGTAGCTCTCTCTCTTAGCTTTCCGGCGGTTTTTAGAACGCCTCAAACGGATTCCCGGAACTCCAGTTATGATCGTTTTCATGCAGACTGCTAAAGATTTCACAACAAAACTCTTCCGAAATCTTGCCATTTTTTTCCCAGTTTTCGCTCTGCTTTTCCTTTATTTTATACCTGAACCTAGAAACAGTTAAAATACCAAATCGACGCGTAAAATATAATAAAAATAACTAAAATGCGACAAGACAAAACAAATGATTAACTGAAATAAACTGTAAAATAACGTGTAAAAACCATTGATCAGTTTCATCAACATTGTCATTTTAACATCAACAACAACACTAACATGCAACAACATTATTTGTTTCCATCAAAAACATTTTTTAAAAACTTGAAATATCTTAAAAATGGTGGAAATATGCTGACAGTGGAGGTGGAGGACAAAGATGACGGTCAAAACAGATGGACGGAGGCGGAGGACGAAGATGACGGTCAAAACGGACGGACGGTGACGGAAGGAGGCGTTCGGACGGAAGCAATGGACAGAAGTTGTCATCTGTGACTAGGGTTCTATGCGCAAGCAGGAAAGAAAGCAAAACCACGACTGTTCTGTTTTATGAAAAATTCTGGGATTTTTTAAATTTATGATACTTAAACCTATAGCAGCGCTTTTTCATGGCCTTTAGCAGCGGTTTATAAAAGCGCTCTCTAAAGTCTGCCTAAGGCAGAACCTATAGCAGCGCTTTTATAAAAGCGCTTTCTTTTGTACCTCATATAGCAGCGCTTTTGGAAAAGTGCTTTCTTAGACTGACACCTTTAGCAGCGCTTTCGTAGGTTACCCCTTTAGCAGCGCTTTCTAGGGCCTACTTTTAGCAGCGCTTTTTGTAAAGCGCTTTCTATTGTTCACCATAGCTGCCACCTTTAGGAGCGCTTTACTAAAAGCACTGTCTAAAGTCTGCTATTTTTTTTCCTTTTTTTCCTGACTCTTTAGCAGTCCTTTTGCAAAAAGCGCTGTCTTTTCTGCGCTGCCAAAAATCATTTCTGTAGTAGTGAGTCAATTGTCTTCGCCAAAGTTTTGAAGAATGAAAAATTCCATGCATGAGACAGGATGCCATAACACCTGAGCTAAGTCATTCTATCCAAATCCACATATTTCTCTTTCCACTCTCTGATCTCAGAGAACCATTGTCACCACCAAGTCTCTGCTTCCCGGATTAAATCTTTGATTTCACCTTCATCACTTTCCTCGAGCAAACAAAGGTTTGCTCCTAACGGTGTGACTTTAATCGAAAAGTATCCCTCAAGCTCGAAGCTATTATGAATGTTGTAAGTCATACCTGGGTTGATGACGACGCCCACGAAAGCGTTCTTAAACCTCTTCAGCATCATCTAGTCTTCCTGAAACTTCAAAGATGTGGACTCTTGTCTATAACGTCCCTCTTGCTCTTTGTTTAGAACGACATCGGCAAAAGATATTTCCCCTACTCTCCCTCCTTTACTTCCTTGTTTTCTGAAGAAAGCACCATCGTTAGCTCCTTCACTTTTGAAAAGAGGACCCACCTTCTCTGATGCTTTCTACTTCGTAAACCTCGAAGGTCGTTCACCATAGGTGTTCTTCAACGATCTTCCAAACGTTGGTATATTAGCATGGGTTTTATGGCCATCTATGCAAATATTATCCAATCTCACCGCCAACATCCTTGCATCAGTAACTTCCAAAAACCTTGCAAATCCAAATCGCTTCCTAAATTTGTTCCTCTTTTGTGGGATGACGACTTCTTTCACTATCCCATACTCTCTAAAAAAAGGTAGAAATGTCTTCCGCTGTAATTGTATCTAAAAACTCTGAGAAATAGAATGAACATTCTTCTTCCCCTTCAACTCTTGCAACTCCACCACCTCTAGAGAACATATCCCATCCCCCTTCTACTATTTTTCTAGACCTCGTCATTGAACTTTCTTCCACTCACCCATTTGCCTCAACATACTAAGTTGTCTTAATAAGATGACAAATATATAACTCTATTAAAGCATAGATTTATATTTTTCTAAAGTATGAAAGCTTGACACATCCATACATAAAACAGCATTTTAAGAACATTAACGCAATAAATAACTTTAAACTTAAAACTAACACAAACGATTCCTCAAATTATCTTTCACTTTCGTATCACTTTCACCTTCTTCAATGTTTGTATACGAATTGTCCCTTTGTGCTATATCAGGAACTACTTAAATGTGTGTGTTCATTATCATTTTGGTTCCACTTCCACTTTATGAATTGCACAAACAACACATAAAGCCAATATTGTTCCTTTTATTTTTGTTTGAATCTTCTGTAATTTTTTATGCGTTGCCTGTATGGATTATGAGCAATAGAACTATTTTTCAAGATAATTAAGTGTGGTTATGTTGTTTTAGTTGCACGTAATAAAGTTGTGTTTTTGGGAGTGGTTTGTTGGTAGGGCTCGGAGAAATTAATGTTTTTTTTTTTGGATTGTTGTGTTTTCCCAAATGGGTGTTTGAAGAACTTAATAATGTGTGGTTGATAATGTATGTGACTTGAAGTGTCATATACTATACTATTAGAATTAGTTCAAAAATACAAAAATGGAGTAATATGAAAAGAAAAAAAACACAATGAACTTGTATTAAAAATTAATATAATAATCTATTTTGTACGAGTGAATTTAAATTAAGAAGTTAATAAATCAATACAATTTAAGTTAATTTAAATATTTAATATGAAGTTTCAAAAAAATAAATCAATATATAATATCTTATTTCAATTTTAATACTACATAATAATAAATTTAATTATACAACAAAGTAATGTAAGTTAATAAACATAAATTATGAAAAATACTAATTAATAAACTAACCAAAAGTATAATATAGTATAACAATAACAATGAAATTAATACAATTTATTTTATTATATTCACTTTAATAAATTGATTTAAAAGACTTAAATACATTTACTTTTTATGATAACAAATTTTCAGTCGGTACTAATCAATATTTATATTGAATATAAATTGGTTCCACACCCGATAATTTTTTAATAAAAAAAAGAAATATAAATTAATTTTTGATTTATAAAGTTTTTGGTTGGCATATGTAGTGTTTTCTATCAATACAAATGTTTTTTATAAATAAAATTGAATATAAATATCTTTTTGTCGGCAAGCCAAAATTAAAGCTTTAGTCTTAATTTTTAATGTAATTTAATTACGGGTTAACTAAAACAAAATAATTTAAAATTCTATTTAGTTATATGATATATATCTTATGAGATTATTTTTAACTACAGATTAATCATAATAAATTTTAAATTCTGTATGATAGTTGAACTTGTACACCGTAAAAAACATAAAAAACGACCAATACATGAATTTAACAAACAAATAAAAATCTCAAAATGATCATTTAAAAAAACACAGTGATAATGAACTGGCGATGAAGTATGATGATGTTAATATTTTTGGCAAGTTATGAAAAATGGGAATTCCCATGAAGAAAAGGACAATATTAGGGTTTGCGTGAGGGCCATAAAAGATTCCAAAAGTAGTGATAAAAGTTGAAACTGGTTTTGGATTGATCCTTAACCTTCATTTGTGTTTGTACTAATAGAAGAGGATAATACCAATTGTATGGTCATTGCTTTTCAAAATAAAACAAAACCATAACTTTGGATTTTTCTCATCCTTCTTTTTCACTCTCTCACACACAACCACCCCACTCAAACACCACTTCTGACGCCAATGTTTGTCTTGGCTCCTTATGTTTGGATTCATATACCCTTTTTGGAATATTTTAATTCTTAGGTCAGCCCTGATTCCCTACCCACCTTAACCTCAAACACAAATATTTAATGCCTACAAAATAATTACTTCCTACTCTTCAATAATAGTAAAAATATCTACCTTATATTTGTTTCCAGTCGAGTTTTATTAGGGTGGCAAACTACCTTGTTGGTCCACAAACGCACTATGCAAAAACTTGTTAAACGTTGTAAAATAAATCAGAGCGGGAAAGATAAAAAGTTACAAAAAATTGGAGTGGATAACATTTATTGTCAAAATTGATAGATTTTAAAATATTTTTAAAAATTCCATATTCCACAAAGGTTTCAAGACAAGGACAAGAAAACAGTAAAGACAAAAAGGACCTTGACACTTTATCGACAGCGTAGCCATGAAGAACAACCAAAACAACACTCTTTGATATAACTCACCAAAGTTTCTCATTAACCTTCTTCTTTTTCATTCTTCTAATCTAAGAGGCAAGTTTTGTAATTTTCTTAGGGTTGCATCTCAATTTATCTTCAATTTCAATACCCACCAACCTTTCCTTCTTTACATATGATTTTGGTGGGTTCCCTTTTTCTTCATGTAACTGCCTCTTCCATCTTTCACTTCTTAACTTTTTTCTCAATTCATATAAGTTCTCTTCCTAATCACTTTCTTAGATATCACAGTTTCAGCTTTTGATTAAAAGTTTTAATTTTTTGTTCTACATTGGTTTGCATTAGTCACCTGCAGAATCTTTCTAACTCTGGTACATTTTTCTGCATTATTAACATTAATCACATTTCTGTTATTTCCAAATTCCTGTTCCTGAGTTTTTGTTTTGTGTTACATGGTATATTTATTTGCAAGAAGGTTCATTTTCTGCAAAGTTCTTGTCCATGATGTCACATTCATCTAGCTTAGGATCTACACATCCTTGGATTAAAGAACTGAAATCTGAAGAAAGGGGGTTGTATTTGATCCATTTGTTGCTCACTTGTGCAAATCATGTAGCTTCTTGCAATCTTGAGAATGCAAATGCTGCACTTGAGCAAATTTCCATGCTTGCTTCTCCCAACGGAGATACTATGCAGCGAATCGCAGCGTATTTTACCGAAGCGCTCGCTGATAGGATACTGAAAACATGGCCTGGTCTTCATAAAGCACTCAACTCTACTAGAATGGTTATGGTTTCGGAAGAGATTCTTGTGCAGAAGCTCTTTTTCGAGCTTTTTCCTTTCTTGAAGGTAGCGTGTGTTCTTACGAATCAGGCTATCGTTGAGGCGATGGAAGGGGAGAAAATGATTCATATAATTGATCTCAATGCTGCTGAACCTGCTCAGTGGATTGCGCTTCTCCAAGTTTTGAGTTCGCGTCCTGAAGGTCCTCCGCATTTGAGAATCACCGGGGTGAATTCGAAAAAAGAGGTTTTGGATCAGATAGCTCATAGACTGATCGAAGAAGCTGAGAAATTGGATATACCATTCCAATTCAATCCTGTTGTTAGCAAATTAGAAAACCTCGATTTAGACAAACTTCGCGTAAAAACCGGGGAGGCATTAGCAATTAGTTCGATTCTCCAATTACATACGTTTTTAGCCTCAAATGATGAAACCGTGAAGAGAAAATCTCCTCTTTTGTTGAAATCTCCAAATGGAATTCACTTGCAAAGATTCCAGCCAATCAACCAAACTACCTTAGGCAATTTGCTTGCGAAAGATATGGTTAACAGATATACCAAAAGTCCCGACTCAACCTCGTCATCATCACCAGCTTCTTCAAACACTTCAAATTCAATGAACATGGAGAATTTTCTCAACACATTGTGGAGTTTATCACCAAAGGTAATGGTTGTAACAGAACAAGACTCTAATCATAACGGCGCAACCCTTATGGACAGGCTACTAGAAGCTCTATATTCTTACGCAGCATTATTCGACTGTTTGGAATCAACAGTCTCACGAAACTCATTGGAAAGAACAAGAGTCGAGAAAATGCTTTTCGGCGAGGAAATCAAGAACATTATTGCCTGCGAAGGGTTAGAACGAAAGGAAAGGCACGAAAAACTTGATAAGTGGTTCATGAGATTTGATTTAGCTGGTTTCGGGAACGTGCCTTTAAGTTATTTTGGTAGGTTACAAGCAAGAAGGTTTCTGCAGAATTACGGCTGCGAAGGATATAGAATGAGGGAGGAAAATGGTTGCGCGGTAGTATGCTGGCAAGATAGGTCCTTGTTTTCGATATCGGCTTGGAGAACTAGGAAGTAAGGCAAAATCGAAAACCAGAATGAGAATGAGAAAGAAATAGAGATGATGTATTGATATTTTTTCCTTTTATTTTCTTTGTATGAAAATGTTTTGTTCCTATAGTAATGAATAATGATTATGCATCATAATCATTTTTTTAGATTTAAATGATGAGGCTTTGTACTCTCTTATCTTATCTGTTTCTCTTTCGCTTAGATTTTATCTATATTTTTTTTCTTTTCTTTAGAATAAATAAAATTCGGTGGCGATTATGTTATATTTTCGAGCGTGCGATGTGCTTGAATATTTTTCGCGCTGCGACAGACTCGCATAAATTTTAATCAATAACAAAGCATTATGTCGCTATTTAGCAAACTTTATTGTTGTAAAAAAAGTTGGGAATGACCCATGGTATAAAACTTGTGCATAACAGCATAAGAACAAAAGAAAAATAATAGATTATATTATATATAACAGAGTTCTTCCATGAACACACAAGAATGTAATATGGAGGATTATTTATTTGTCATTACAGAAAATAGAAAGTGCTTTATTGCCAATATAACAGGAAGACATTTTGACTGAGGCAGTCCAAGGTGTTGATCACTTCATTGCTTTTGGAGGCACTTTAACAGCTGAAACAAAGTCATCACAATTTTCAATTCAGTTTTCTTTTTCATTTATCTATATATTATGCACTATCATTTAACTAATATATTTCTTCAAAAACAATTTAATTTGTATCCAAATATGAATAGAAAGTTCTTACATCCACATTGCAGTCCAGCAGGAAGTTTCACTCCACAAGACCTTGCAACAAATATTGTCTTTTGAATACTCACAAACTTTTCAGCTTCTTTTGTGACCATTTTACATGCACAAGGAACATCAAAGGTTCTTATCACTGCACAACATCCTGGTGATGGTGGAATTGTTGGTCCAGATTTCTGAACAAACTTAGAGCACTCAGAAATTAGAGCTGGAAGACTTCCTCCACATTGAGCTGAAACATTGCTTGTGTTGTATATTAATGTTCCAAAAACCAACAATGTTGTTAAGGTCAAACAAGTGCTAGTAGCTGCCATGTTCTTGTTAATTTCAATTTGTATTGTTGTGAGATACCAATGCAATGAAATGAGTTTTGTGCATTTATTTATATACTAAGTGGAGTACCTTGTTTTCATATTTTATTTTTTTGTTTCTATAATGTCGTGAGTAAAACTAGAATTTTTGTCTGGTTGGTTCAAGTGGATATTACATTCGGCAGGACAAATATGTAATAATTCAAATGAAACTTATCTTGTATATATATTATTTAATTACTACAAAGATAAACAACACAGTTTTGCTATAACCAGCAAGAGAATATTTATTTTTCTTTACATGAGCAAGAGAAATGTTGCGTTGAGCAGAACAAGCAATATGCTGCCGTTGGTATATCCTGTAGACGGCTGAGAACAAACAAAATAATAGGCTCATGGCCTTAATTTTCCTAGGTGAGGAGAGAATTATTCGTGTTAGTGTTAAATATGTAATTCTTGTGTGTCAAATCCTATAGTATTTGACGGATGTTGATGGATGGTTTAGTTTGGTCGAATGAGTTAATCTCGATAGAGTCGAAGAAAATTAAATAAGTTTAGTTTTAGTTAGTTATTTTGTGATTACTTAGAATGCAAGTAATCACAAAACAAATAGAGAGAAACTTTACTTTATTAGTAAGATTTTTTGTTGTAGCGTTGTGTAGTTTTTATAAATCACACTTATGATTAACACACATTATAACAAACATTTTGAGTGTACTTTGTACAATAATACAGTTTTCTTCTTCTTCTTTTGGAATTTCTCTTTTCTCTCATTTCAATTGTCTCGTTTTCATCTTTCAATTCTCTGTGTAGTGTAGAATCATCTTGCAATCAAGGAGTGGTTGTTTCATCTGAGTAAAAGGTGAAGAACAAGAGGTGTGATCAATAAAAAAGATTGATTTTTATTTGAAGACTCTGCAGATTTGAGCAAATTTTGGTAAAACTGAATGTTGCACAAGATGTTCCAACAAAAAAAATTCTACTGAAAGAAGACATGTTGGATAAGATGCCCCAACACGATGTTAGGACATCGTGTCTGTTATAGATGCACAGGAATTTGCTTCAGCAGAATATTTGCAGCTTAGTTCCAAGATCTAAGGTATGGATCAAGGAATAATTAAACAGATATTTCGAAGTTCATGGACTGCTGAAGATTATAAAAGGAAGACCAAAATGTTAGAGTAGAAGAATAATTCTTATTAAGACTTTTGTAAAGTAGAAAATAAGGATTTAGGGTTTTGAAAATCGTGTATTTTCTTGTGTTGTAAGTCACCCTTTTTATCGATTGATACATTGTGGTAGACATAAATTTATAAATTCAGAAGCCGTGAAGTAATGAATTGTGTATTATTCTTAGATGAAGCTTTGAAGCAAAACCATGAATTATTTGTCAATCAAAAGTTTTGACTGATTATTGATCAGAATAATGCAATTACAGGATGTAGTAACTGTTAAGTATCACAGATTGTGATTTAGGGATTGAGATAGGTTTCTCTTATCTAGATGGTGATTTCTAGATATAATTGTACTAGGTAGAGATTAAGTGAGGAGTTGTAAACGGGAGAGTTTAGCTCCAAATTAATACTGCTAATAATGAATTCATTCCTGGCTTGGTAGCTCCCAAATATAGGTGTTGTTGTTCACCGAGTTGGGTCATCATATTCTATGTTATTTATCATTCTGTTATATTCTGTTTAATCTGCTCTCTTGATCAAAAGTTTATGTATTGACTGATGTTGGGACATCTGTCACGACATTGTTTTATGAATCTGCAATTTTGTTGAAGGTTCTTGGTTCTGCCCTTGTTTAGATGTTATGCAGAGAATAATTTCTCGACATCTCTTAGAACATTTGTGGTCTGCTATGCCAGAACTTCAATTGGTATTAGAGCAGACATCATGTTTGTTTCGGGATGAGATATTGGGAGATACTTTCTGGTGATTTAAACAAAGAGGAGTAGGAGAGATCAAATCATTCATTCTGATATATCCAAGGGTGTTGATGGTTGACATGAGTGTTCTGAATCAAGAGGAACAACTACTGATGGTTGTTCAAGGTTTCCAAGGAGTTTCTACAACAACTGCAGGAGGAGTGGCTAGTTATTCTATATGGTGTCCTATAAAATGTTTTGACATCTTGTTTAGGGCATGTTTAATATGTTCTTTGGTGGTTCCGCTGCATATATTTTTGATGGAAGAACTCTGGTAGTCCTGTTATTCTAGAGTTGTGATTGAAGAAAGATTGTAAAAGATCTTGCTTATTGACTTCTGTTCTTGAAGATATCAGCATTTTTTAAAGCTCTAGTCGTTCCAAAGTCGAGAGCAATGGAATGAAGAGAGTTGTTTGTTGATATCTGTTATTGTTGACTTGGTACTTGGAAGTTTGGTTCTATCATGTACCTTGAAGTTAGTTTGCAGAGAAGGTGAGTTGAGACCGTATTTATCAAATTCATGATCTACGAAATTGGTAAATACACTGTGCGACTAAGTTGCCAAAGATACTTGAGATATCTCTCAAGTCCACTCATAAAGGCATCTCTGGTCGTGTTTAAGAGTTCTTCCAGAAGGATAATCTGGTTTTCATGTTGAAGATGGATTTCTGTAGATCTCTGGTGCTGATGGATGTTATTCAACTTGGAGATAGTGGGAGGTGATTTATTTTAACCACTCATGACTTGCAAGGGTTCTATCAGCAAAGGAAATTCATAGGCACGTTGAGTCAAGGATGACAGGCTTGATGTCTCAACATGTTGTTTGACTAGAAATATGTTGACACAAGAATTCTTGATTTGTGTTGTTATCTGGTAGATCATATACACTACAGGATGTATGTTTTTGTGGACAAGGATTAAAGATTAATTGTTATTTGTTGAATTCACAAACACTTAATTGATTATCCTTGTATTTTGGAGTACAAGATTACTGGTGACAAGTTGGTACATCAGAAAGGGCAACATCTCTAGTTGTACCTGCTCAAAGATTTGTTCTTTGGAGAATGGGTACAGTCAAGATAAGGAACTGATGTTCTATCAAATGTTGAAACATCTTGATAGTGGAGTATATGCAGAATCCTGTTGATTCAAGAAGTGAACCACTGGAGTAAATGAGGTGTAGCTGATGATCTTGGTACCATACACGTGTGTGCTAGGATCTGTTTTTATTCTGTTGTTGCAAAGGCACATAACCTGACTAGAAAGTTTCCTGGCAAGAAACTAGGATAAAATGTAGTACTGATGAAAGTGAAGATGAAGACATTTTTCTTAGATTAGTTTATTTCTGATCTAGGAGTATTGGAGTGCAGCATGTGTGTTCCAGTTTCTACTAGAAGCATCTGATCTTTATCTAGAGAGTTTCCTGGAAGAAAGTTGTCTAAAATATAGTGTTGATGACAACACTACTTGGGTCAGTTTATTTCTGATATAGGTGTATAGGAGCATGTGATCTTGCTCATCTTGAAGGTCAAGGATAAGTGACAGTTATCTCTGAATTTCTGAAGAAGTCTCTACTTAAGGAAAGCAGGATTCCTTTTGTAAAGATCTTGTGTGACTAAACGTTTTTGAAGAATCAAGCTTTGGCATGTTTGGTTTCTCTGAAGATGAGTTCTTAAAGAAAATACCTTTCAAGGTGTTTGTACAAAAATGCAGGATGGAGGTTGTGTACTCAAATTTGATATCATTACTCAAGTATATGAGAACATGGAACTCTTGTTCTGTTATAGGGAGAAGGTTCTTCTAAGTGGCAGAATGAAGGACTGGACTCTCAGGCTGGATGTCTGATCAGATGTTGTGACATCAAGCGGAAACTTCAGGGTCTTAGTTGATGTTGTGGCGCATCATCGTAAGATAAGTTTATCTTCTTAGAAATAAATGGAATTAATGCTTCAAAAAGTTCTATCTTGTGCAGTTTGCGGGAGCTACGAGAAGAAGTAGATGTTATAGGT